GGCCGGTTTTCACTCTCTTAGGGAAGCGAGCTGTTTATGACAGACGAGGAGCGCCTTGCAGCCGAAGCCCGCCGGGAGGTGGAGAGGCAGGAACTGATGCATCAGAAGAAGGTTGCAATGGAAACCAACAAAATCATTAAAGAGCAACAGGAGAAGGAGAGACAGTGAGTGAGCTGCACAACCTTTAATTAGCTTCACCCAGACGCTGATAAATGTTCTGTTTTTTCAAGCAAAGGAAGCTGTCACGCGGGCATTTGCTGCATGACTATTTAAAGTCTTGCAGTAGCTACATTTTCAGAGTTCACAAAAAAGAATTACTCTCCTTGTTTCCCCTGTGTTTTATGTTTAAAAATGATCAATTGCATCTGTAAACTTAACATCATATTCCCTGTATTTATAGTTCTGATGATGAACATAGATTCATGTTGGGGTTTTGATGTTTCTGATGCTATTTGTAGGAGAAAGATGGAGATCTCACAGAAAGTAGCAGAGGAAGAGGAGCGCTATAAGAGCGAGATGGAAAAGTACAAAATTGTCCATATTCAGTGAATTAAAAATATCTTTGTTGAGCTTTTTAGTTTTTTTTTTCTTTTTTTAAGTTAATAAAATATCTACTATAGGATTGAAGCTGCAGAAAAGAAACACGACAGAGATTGGGAGGAGGACTGGGGATCCAAAGACAGACCAAAGAGTCCCCGCGCTTCAAAGAGCCCCTCACCGGAGATGAAACCTCCAAAGGCCAAGAGTTCACGTATGATCAAAAGTTTAAATTGCATGAATCCTCTGCTTGCCTCCAAACTTTCCTCCTCTTATTTCTGTTTCACTCCAAATGTTCCTTTCCTGCATGTTTCCGTTTGTGTCTGCTGGTTGCTGTGCTGTTTTCTACGGCCTCTTCTCCTAGTTGATGGAGCCAGCTCCTTCATAGAGGAAGAGGAGGAGGAGGAAGATGATGAGGAAGACAGCCAAGTGAGTTTGGAGTTTCAGGTGTCATTTATGCTGGCTGTGCTAATTGACGCACAAAAGTCTCAGATTTCCTTTGACAACAATAATGTAACCATGAGATCAGACTTGACAATTTCTTCACATCAAAGATTTTACAAAGCTTCAACCTGCCAACAATTTCCTACTAAATTCAGCGGAGTCTGATTTGTCTTTAAGAATTACAATTCACAAAATATATATTTTTAAGTTTCTGGTTGAATAGAATATAGAATTTTTCTATAAATAAGATTAGGATTTTTCTAAAACAGCCCAAAGTTACAAAGCCAACTCTTTCCGCATGACTGAAACGCTACAAATACAGTGAGTTATTAGTCAGAGGTTTTAATAAGTCAACCTAAAGATAAATAAATACCGCGTCTGCTTTGCTTGTTTTTAAGACATATTAAACAGTAGCTCAGTTTTATTGTTTCACAACATAAATGAAGATGTAATGAGCACCACATTATGGTATTTACAACTCGGATTTCTCTGCGCATTTCTACAGACAAGTCATTCCAACTCCTAGTTTGAATGCAGCTCTTATCATGATTTAAAATACAGTTTTTGTCTTTAATTGCAAATGTTGTGCTACTTCCCATCCAGACTGCCTCTCTGAGTGCTGTGTTGTGTGAGGTTTTACATTTCAAGAAAAAATAAAAATTTAAAAATATGCTCAACTGTATGGATTTTACTTGAATGTAAACTTAAGTTTGCGATTTCATTTTTCATAAAGAGTGTGTTCATCTCCATCCTTAGCATTTGGCTGGTTTTATCGATATGAGGGGAAGCTGCCTTCGCTGCGAAAGGTACAGTCAGCTGGTTGTGTTGTGTGAAGTGGCTCTGAATGGTTTACCTTCAAATCTGACGTTTAACTCAAATGGTTGGAAATGAGCGAGGATTGTTTTCTCAGATTTTCTTGTGTTGCCGTTGCCCCAGTTTGTGTTTGTATTATTTAGTTGGTAGTTGCTGTGTTTTTGTTTTTATTTTCTGCATCATTTTGCGTTACCCATCTGGCGATGCCTCAGAAAGGAGAAAAGAAGAAGAAGAAAAAGAAAAGGTCCAACACAGACACACTGCAGGAGCAGAGAAAGAACAAGAAGGAGATGGAGTTTGAGCTGAAACTTGCCAGAGAGAAGGAAGAAATGCAAGAACGGGAGAAACAACTAAAGATCAATCGGCTGGTTCAGGAGGTACGAAAAGATGAAGTCTCAGCTCAGAGCAATAAATGTAACCAAAGCATCCTCTTTTTCAACACACTTTGCTTCCAAGCAGTTGGCCTGTAATCTTTTAAAGTAATCTTGACCGCAGCTTTGCAGTTTTCTGCCTTGTCTAACCACACATGGACAGATTGACAGTAAAATTAATTCTCCCCAGCAAACAAACACCAGTTAAAAATCATTATTACCTCTGACAGACAGAAACTGATTCTCAAAGCTTGAATTGAGGAGTAACAATGTGCTTTTCACGCTGGCGGTGGGTCAGGTTTTCACCCCTCTGGCTGAGGAGGTCGTGGGAGTTTTGTTGTCCAGTTGACACATGCTTCTTGTTTGAGCCAAGACCTGGAGCTGTTTTCAGCCAAGAACAAAGCAGCTGGAACAAGAGGCTGCTCCTCTAGATCTGAAGCAAATACTCTCAAATGAAAAAGGGCTAAAGGCTCCCTTCAGATCAGGAATCAGTGTCTGCTTTTGGCAGATCAATTCAAATGTCTTGGAGTCTTGGTCGTAAGTGATGGTGGGATGGAGCAGGAGATTGATTGGAGCTTATCTGTGGGTACTTCTCTGATTTGTCAAGTGGAAAGAAATAGCTTTAAAGTTTGTAGAGCCTAAAAGCAAACCTCTAATTTACCCCTGTTCAACTGCTTTTAGTTGCTAAATTCTTTAATGTGTCTTTGTCCAATGACATTCAGTCAGTCTAATTCTACTTAACTAAAGTGAAAACATATGAATCATAATGCAGAGTATGATATTAGGTGAAGATCTAAATTATCCATTGAATGTTTGAGGTAGAGTTTCAGAAAATCACCTGTTATAGATGTCAAGTTCACATACCACTCAGCGGTATACCTTTCATTGGGACGTCCAGAATCCCTCAGAGTACCTCCAGGAATACCTCTAGGAATGTATCCTAGAGGAAATCAATAATATGTATTCTTTCAGGCCTGATGGCAACCTTGGATCCCACATATCATCCCCTGAATGATCTGGAGTTTGTTGTCTGGAGCAGCAGGGATGAAAGAGTGTCACTGCTGGATGTCTAAGCTCTTTAAAACCTCTTTAAAAGATAGAAGCAATCTGCCATTTCTAAGCAAATGTAAAGAAATGCTAGAAATATTTCCCTTTGTTACCCACAGTAATGTCAAGGAGCTTCAAAGTGAATCCAAATGTGCTTTTTATTGAAATCTCTGTTGCAGTTTGCAGTTTTTCCGGTGAAGCCTTGTGTCATGTCATTGGTGACAGTATGTGTGAAGGTTTTTTTTCTCTTGTTTGTGATTCTGGCTGGCTGTAACTCCATCCCAGGTCTCAGAGACTGAAAGGGAAGACCTGGAGGAGTCTGAGAAAGTGCAGCACTGGGTGGAGCGACTGTGTCAGACTCGGTTGGAGCAGATCTCTTGTGTGGAGAATGAATCCCCAGAGGTACAGAGTCTTCAGTTCAAGCCTTCCTACACTCAGAGCTTTTCAACAGTTGTAGTTTGTTTCTAACATGGATGATTTCATGGAAGATTTTACATGGGTGGTGAAGTATTTCTTATTTGTTTGTGGCTTAAAGCTCTCCCCGCCTCGTTCTCCTGGCTCAGACCCAAGGGTGAAGCATTTTCCTGGTGGTTTCAACCTAGCAACCACTGATCTGGACAACATAAACCTGGACGAGGTGGACCAGAGCCTGAGGGGACCTCTTAAAAAACTAGTCCCGACTCAGCCCACCACAAACCAGCCTCCACCTCCTTTGCCTCGCCCTCCACCCTCACCCAAACTGAACCCAACAATCCCTAAGTACTCCCCGCCCTTACCTCGAGTATCCCCACACCGCCGGCCTCCTTCTTCCCCCAGTCCTAGGAAGCCTCCGTCCTCTGCATCCACTCTGACACACAGGGGGCGCAAGCCTCACGCACATCCCCAACATACACAACCGCGCCGCCCACCTCCCTCCAACTACCCTCCGCCATCTCACACGTCAAGACCCCCATCTTCCCCTCAACCCACGCCACATCCCCATCCTCCGCCTCCCCCTCCTCCTCCTCCACCGCCGCCTCCTCCTCCGCCTCCTCCCCCACAGCACTCTGAAGAACGTGAATACCGCCAGCACCACCACCACCACTTGCAACATCCTCCCAGCCCTCCCGAACACAGGAGCGAGTGGGAAACAGGCGGCTACCTCCCCAGAGGGGGGATTTATGCATCCAACACCAGTGAAATGTCTCCCCCCTCAAGTCCAAAGGTTTGACTTCTTCATGCTTCATGACGGAAGTATGACGAGTGCGGATTGCCTTTTCCTTGTGATTTGTCTTTCAAACCATGAGTGTTTTTGTGTTAGGAGCATTTGTGCTCTTATGAACCTCTCTACAGCATTTATTGGTAGAATGAACTGTAGAGATGGTTGCTGATGGTTAGTTGTGTCTCTGTGGTTTTTATAGAACATGGTGAGTAGGATGCTGCATGGTGTGTAGCATGTGAAACAAAAGCCTGTGTGTGCTACTGTTTTGAGCACCCCCGAGTGGATGTTTTTCTGAATGCTTTACCATCCGATACATTGGCTGTTAAATTTGTAGACATCCATGTGAAATTGTCAGGCGAAACCCGTAGAGCCGGGGTCTCAAACTGCATTCCTCAAGGGCCGGTGTTCTGCAACTTTTAGGTGTTGATCTGCTTCAGCACACCCGGCTCCAATATAAGTTCACTAGCAGAGTTTTGTAGAGCTTAGCTGCATGGTAGTGAGGCAGTTTATCCGTTTAATTCAAGTGTGTAGAACAATGGACGCGTCTAAAGGTTGCAGGACTCTGGCCCTCGAGGATTGCAGGTTGAGACCAATGTACCAAAATGGGCTTCAAAAAAGTTATTATTTTAAGGGTATCCAAACCAATGTATTGAGGCTATTTTTAATATTTTTCTTGCATTTTTTTTCTCCTTACCAATGTATTTTCTATTGAATTGTAGAAAATACAATTCAAAGTGTTTACTTCACTTTCAAGGTGGAATAAGTTTTGAAATGGTGTCATTCAAGGAAGATAAGAAAAAGCTGAAATTTTAGCAAGAGTGTGTGTTCTTTTTAGATCTGCTGTGCACTTGGAGTTTGTGATGCCTTAAAATATGAGAATTGCTTTGGGTGGGTGTCTGACATTTCTAGCTCTAGCACGAGCCAGACAACTGAGGGATTCATTGTGTTCTAGGTGATGAGAAACACCTCCCATGTCAGTCATATTTCCAGTTCAAGCAGTCAGCTGGTAAGCCTCCCTCCTTGTGGAAACTCGCATCAACCTCGCGCTGTGTTTGGAGTCGGCTGAGCTTTGTAAAAGTTTTGCTTGGAAATGTGGTCCAACAGCAGCTGGCTCCCAGTCCCCCTAACCAGAGGCGTCAGATGGCTCCCGTCATGTCAAAGCCCGTCATGCTTCCGCAGTCGCAGGCCAACCGGCCAGATCCTCTCCGACCTGCTGTCCGCTCTGATGGCCTGGTACGAAGCTTATTAGGGTCATCTGGCATAGTGTGCCATCAGCTGCAGCAGCTATCAATGTCTGCCTCCTTTTAAGAACCCTGGGAAGTTTTCCAGACTTCCAAACAATCTGTTATTTTTATTTCAAACAGGCCAAATATTCTAGTATTATTTTCTTCAAAACCTTAATTAAAACAGGCAAATCAAGTTGTGTTTGCGGCAATGTTGGATAAGCTGGTAAAGAGCAATCATCTGTCCTCATTACAAATGAAACCTGAAACAGCCACTTTGCCATCTGAGCCATTAGCACCACCACAGGCCTCTACCTCCACAGCGAGAGATAAAACGACTCATGTACAAATCTCTGCTAATTGTAGCTGCTGCTGCAGGTAGAGAAAGGAAATGTACTCTCCTGCTGACATTCTCTCTCCGGGCATCGTCAGTGTTGTGAAAGTCATTCCTTAGTCGCATGTCGGCTCTTACTATTTTGGTTTTCTGAGTTTACATTTTGACTGGATCTGGTCAAAAAATGTAGAACATGAAGCTGTTAATCCTTCGTCTCTTTTATAGTTAAATATCTTACTGGTAAAAAAAAAAAATACATGGAAAAATATCAGCCATCTTGGTCAAATATTTGTAAATTATTTTATTATAAATGTAATGCATTTAAGCATTCCTTCAGGGCTGCAGCTGATTAGACAGACATGTTGGAGAAAACATATTTTACTACATTTATGTTACTCTGGGCTGTTTTTACTGGAACAGCAAAGTTCAGATGTCACACTTCAATAGAGGTTCAAAGCTCCTAAAGTGCCCGGAAACTGTTGAAGCATCAAACTGAAGAATGTATTTTTCTTTTATTCCTGCAATTTGACTGAAAACGTTGAACCGGTGTTGTGCTTCAGCCTCCAGAAATGCTTAAACGGATGGTGCCTTTCAACTCGTCTTTCAAATCAAACAACAAACAAGTAATCCTTTCTTCTTGTACCTTCCCTGTTATGCTTGAGTGTTGCCTTCCTTTTCTAGTTTTACCTTTTTGCCTCCCTGACTGGACCCTCAGTTTTGGCTTTTCCATGTTTTTCCCCCCCCACTATCTTCTCTATGCAGCAGTTGCACCCCTGCCTTTTTGATGAAGTGGTTCATGCATGACTGTATTTTTATTGATTGGGAGCAAACTGTAGAGGCCATGAACATGTTGTTTAGTGTGGGAATGCATGTCATGTGGCAGTTGTGTCACTAGGGAGGTTAATTATGTCTCTATTGCTAAAGAGGGTTTTTACCTCCTGAATTCACCACTAAAAATGCCGATTGAAAACATTGAGTTTCTGTTAAACTGTCGCCACAAGTCAGATCTTTATGCATTACGACGGGACAGGAATGTTTCTTTTCCAATGGGTTTCATTAAATTTATATGATATTGCACATGCGGGAGGAGGCATGTTTACTGAAGTCAACTATTATACTACAGTAAATGAAAACAAGGCATATATGGGGTTATTTTTACATCACAGAGCATTTGTGCAGCAGCTGGAAATGAATTGCTAGATTAATGTTTTTTTTTTTCTGTACTGAAAACTCTGGGTTGAATAAATGTGATTTACTCACCCGGAGAGCTTGGTTCTGTTTTCTTCTTCCTCCTGTAAAATGAAATTGCTGCAGACCTGAAGTGGATCTGCGTTATTTCCTTCTGTGGTTGAACGGAGAATCACTCTTGTTAAAATGTGTCAGATTGTTTTTTGAATTGTGAGAAACTTTGTGGTTTTTCAGTGTTGAGGCTTATGTTCAAACTTTTACACTGAACTGGTTGTCAAAGGAAATCTGACCTCTTGTCACACAACTCACGTTCACTTCATGTTGTCTTCATTTGCTCTTTGTGTATTTATTGATCACTTTAAATTAATTACATAATGATGTTTTCTTTCAGGGATTTCAGAAATACGTGGACGACTTTGATCCGTACTCCATGGTATTGTATTCTTGGGCTACAGAAAAGGAGATTCAGTTCTTTTATTTGACAGAAATCATGCATAGAAACATTTATCTTATTTCCCATCGACTGATATGTTTAAAAAACTGGTTTAACAGATTAAAGGACTGTCTTTGTTCCACTTGTATTCCCAGGGGAGGTAGACACAAACTATACATAAAATACAAAGACTAACCTTGAAAATTTCTTAACTCATCATGACTGATGTCAGTCAATATCTCTCTTAGCAGAATCTATACTCATGATTTCCTCTTGCTGGTTAAGTTCATTTAGAACATAGGTTGCCATTTATCATGCTGCCAAGTCTGTCATTTCATCACATTTATCTACAATCCTGGTGATTTTTTTCTTCTTCCTGTTTTCTTGATCAATAGTTCTCCTCAGACCAGATAGATGGGCGAGATGTGAGATTGCTAAAAATAAAAAAGGTATTTTTTTTTTCATAGTTCAAACACAAGGCCTGATTCTTTTTCACATTCTGAAGCATGACTGATGATTTTTTCTTTTTTTTTCCTTTTTAAAGGCCGGACAACTTGACCTTGCTCTGGAAGGGGGAGCTGAATCTCCTCTTGGAAAGTTGGTGGTGTCTTCAGTGTATGAAGGCGGTGCAGCCGATAAGCACGGTCAGCTAAATTCTTCAATTCATGATTTAACTTTACTGCAACCGTGTAGGGAGTTTGAAATATGACTGTTTGGAGCAGATTTGTTGCACCACGTGATATTAAAATTATAGTTTTTAAAACTCATAGAGAATCAAAACAGTAATTCATTCTGTTTTTTAAAAAAATTAATTCAAAACTCTTAGCTTTTCATTCACTTTCAGCCTATTTTTATGTTTTAACACATAATTTGAAAATTTTAGACCTTGTATGTTTTTATTCAACAGTTAGTTCCTGCACTGACTAAACTGTGTGTGTCTGTGGTAATTGTAGGAAGGCCTTAGTGCTGATTATTTTTGCATCTTAAATGTCTGTGTTGTTTCTTTGTGTTTGCAGGAGGGATCGTTCCCGGTGACGAACTCATGGCTGTCAATGGGAAGATCCTGATTGACGCTACTTTAGAAGAGGGACAAAACTCTCTGGCTCGGGCCTGGAACAGTGGAGGGGTATGAGAGCACTTAGAGACTAGAAAACATACTCTGGATTTTAACAATATGCACAGTTTAATTGATCATATGTTTTACATTCAGCTTCGTATTGACTTAATCTCAGAGATTTAAAATCATTTCACCCCTCAGGACTGGATCGATGTGGTGATTGCTGTGTCCCCTCCAAAGGACTATGAAGATGAAGTGTAAGATTTATTTTTGTCATGCTCCAATACGCTTTGTTGCATTCTATGTGCTAAGCTATGAATCTGTTGAAATATGACGAAGCGGCTCAGTAGCTTACAGACGGCGGCTCGTGTTTCTGTGTGTGTGCATGTGTATGCAGCCCTAAGTCAGCATCAGTCAGTCCCACTGTGAACAGAAAGGTGTTTGAAGGCAGTGCAACACTTTACAGACATGGCTATCAGCTTCAGCACTAGCCCCACCTCTCTTCCTTCCTCACCCTTGTTCTGGTAATCAACTTAACCTTCAGCCCTCATCTTCTCTGCTGCACGTCAGAGGGGAGGTTTGGTGTGGCTTTTGTTTTTGTTTTTCCTCTTGGGGACATGTGACAGTCTCTCTGACAACTTGAATACTTAAGACGGCAAGAGGATTTTAATGTTTGTTTCCTCTCATCCTGTCGGATTTAAATCTTCTTGTTGCTTGGTTTGCTCCATAGAAAACGGTCATGACTTTGAATGTACACTGTCTAAAGTAGGATTTAAATAAAACACTCTTGCTACTTTAAAGACGTTTATAGTAATACGTGACAGATCACTTTGTGTATGTGCTGGATCCAGGGAGCCGTAAACATGTTGTTGGATGTTCTCAGGTCACGGACACCACAGACTCCTGTCAGCCTTCAGCAGTTGTTCTGATTGATGTTGTTTCTTGGACTGTTACATGTCTTAAAATCTTTGAGTCTGAGATATTTTTATTGAATTTACTGTCACAAGATTACATCCACTCATCATATTAGTTTTGGGCTTTTGGTGATTCATTTGAACTTAATGTAGCTTTTCATAAACTACTATTAATATTTGAGTAACTGTCCCAGAGGAGGTTGCAGATAAAACATCAGTTGTGGTCATCAACAAGCTGCTGGAGTAATTATGACTCATATTTTGACAACTACAATCCATTCAAAATTGTTCCTCTGTTTTGGGCCATTCCGAAGACGTAATATTAGCCATTTTTAAAATCCTTTTCCAAATTGGGTTTGATGGGCCAAATCAGGTTTTCCTGTAGATCTAATAATTTAGGACTCAGGCAGAGTAACAAGCCATAGCTGAATGGCTCACCTCGACTCCATATTTGTTTTCATCTTCGTTTCCCCTGAACATAAATCTTTCAATTCAGAAAACATTTAGTCGTTCCATAAAGAGCATTCGCAGTTTTCAGCTATGCTTCATGGTGTTGATTTTAGATTCTTTACTGGTCAGCAGCACCCTCTCCGGTTTCATCTGGAGCTCTAAGCTGCATAATGACTCGTATGTGCAAAAAGAATGGCTCAAATAAATCACTAAAAGCTCAAAAGGAACATGTAATCCATGATGTCTACATGTAAACTTTTGACAAGACCTGCATGTAATGTGAGAGATGCACCAATTGCAGTTTCTAGGCAGATTCTTGTCTTGATCTGAGAATTTTGCCAAAAAAGCACCATACAAACTTCAAAAGCTTTTTTGCAACTTAAAAATATATAATACATGAAATACATATTATTCAGACTTGGGTTAAAAGTCCTCAATTTTATTAGTATTATTTTTTCTCAGCTGATGTCTATTATGTCCTCCGGGTCATCTCTTCATCTTTTTTTTTTTTTTTTTTTTAAATATTGTGAAATAAATTATTTTGAGGACTGTTGAACTGAAAACCATCAGGTCTGCTATAGAACAATTTGTGCACCTCTAGATACTTTTTTGCATCACAGTAGTTTGGGAAAAAGTGACTGTCTTCTGTAACTCATTTGCATTAGTCCATCTCTGTTTGTTGTGGTTGCTGTGCAGTGTCTAATTGGAGAATGACAGATGCGTGTTTGTCCTGTTCATATTGTACTACACTTCAGATAAAAGAAAAAGCTTCTATTGTTTACATTCTTTTGTTAACTTTGCTCCTTTCTCCTGCAGGACATTCTTCTAATACCACCAGCCATTAAAGCCAGATTCATTAGGAGGAATCTCTTCAATGAGAGGACTGAGAGGCTCTGTGCCTTTTCTTCTTTATCTCACCTTGGGACTGAGCCAAGCTGTCGTTCAGACTGACGCTGCACCGTCTATAGCCATTTTCACTGTCTTGTTTTGTCAATGGATGATCCAGTCATTAATCAATTTTCTCCCTTATACCTCTTCCCTTCTGCAAACACTGGGAATAATTTACTTCTATTATGCTAATGTCAGTCACTATGCAAATGAAGGAGGAATTTGAGTGAATAATCAATAATGTATTCAGAATTTTCTTGAGCCCAATAAAGAACTGGTCAGACTGAAAATGAGGTTCCGCTTGAATATTGATTTTATATTTTCTATTTAAAAAATGGTTTACAGATTTATTATATACATACTTAGTGCTGTAAACATAGTATTTTTAAGTAAAAGTTATGTTTGCATCTATCCTTTACAGAAATATGCATATCCAGAATATAATTTACATTTTTGTTTAGATGTCCAAGAGCTTGGGGTTCTAAATTAGTATTTTATATACAAGCGATGGAAAAAAAAAATTGCACTGTCTTTAAGTCGTGTTTTTTTTTTTTTTGGTACTAGTATATAAAAAAATCATCTGTAGTTTTCATTTGCTACATCAAACCTCAAGTGTGTAAAAAACCATGGCAGATTCTGTGGTATAATTAAATCTGAAAAGTTGTGTAAACTGTACATTTATAGAGCCCAACAGATTCAATGACTTGACTGTGTCTTTTTCTGTATGAAATGAACCGGACCCTCCAGACCTTGACCTAAATCAGATGCCGAAGTGTGAGCTTAGGGTCTTAAATCTTCAGAAATGTCTTCCTTAGTTCTGCTCAGTTGTTTCAGATGAAGGGTGAGTAAAAGCATCAGACTTGATTTTTACCTCCCACACCTGTGTAATCTTCTTCTCAGCAGGCATCATCCCGAGCAGAATGCCCATTAGCTCATATTTATCGATGTGAGGTAATGAGCTCAACAGACAGCAACAGCAATAAGTGAGGCAGAAACTAATTTACCTAAAATAAAATAAAATAATATTTCACCAGAATGCACACAAAAACCGCATGAGTGAAATTAGTGAGGTGAATTGCTGGGAGCAGACCTTTTTTTACAGAGACGGGATATTTTTATTTCTACATATCGTAAATCCTATGCATGTGTTGGACTGTATAAAACTGTCGCAAATTAAGAGAAAATGAAGTTTTCAAATAATGATTTAATCCATTAAGGAAAATAAGTTATTCAAACCAATCTGGCATTGTATGAAAAAGTGATCTTCACCTGGACCAAGTAACAGGATAAATACTGGTAAATACTTTTTTTACGCAGTATATGTTTTCCAAACATTTCTTCTACTTAGTATTTTGTTTCCTTCATTCATTCAAGTTCAAGCTGCAACCAAGGTTTCTTTAAACATTGATGTTAATACCCTATTTTACCATGTTAAATGTATTATTTATCTATCAACTGTTTATTGATTTCTTTATTCTATCTTGTGATTTTAATTTTTTTTCTGCGGTTGTATCGATTTATTTCATGAAACCATTTTTGCATTTATGTGTCTACAGGGGGCAATATTGGACCTTTTTGAATAACAACAGGCCATGATTTTAGATTACCATGTATTATTTTGGGGTAAGCTTGATGTTAGTAAACATATCATGCAGAATTAATGACATTCTTGTTATTTATGATTTTGTAAAATTGGGGAAAACAGGAAAAAAGAAGTTGAGTGGGCGCAGTGTGGGTTTGTTTTATCGGACAGCCTCCCTCCGGTCTTGTATAACCGCTTTTTGCGGTTTGTGGCGTCGCGTTTGTGAGCTTGGCTTTGTGACCTCCTGCTGCTACAGTTCATGACAGAGGTGGCCTTGCATGATCTGCCTCCTTCCCTCCTTCCTCTTCTTCCTCCTCCTTCCTCGCCTCCTCCCCCTCCACGAGCCCCGGGTTCAGCACCGTGGACAGCTCCCAGCATCCGCACGCAAACCGCCGCCCGCGGTCGGGCGCTCAGACGCAGGCAGGACAGCGAGGAGCTCGACGGCGCTCTGAACACATGAACGACAGCAGTTTGGGATATCTTGCTTCTTTGTCCTCTCACCGACGGACGTGACACCGTTCAAGACTGTTGCTGAAGTCAGGGGCTGCAACAATGATCTCACGATACAAACCGGTAAGTGCTGGTATCACCTGGGCACTCGTCAGAGAAACACTTCCTTTGTTTAAGCAGAAGAGTTTTATCCGCTTTGTCCATCAAACAGCTGCGGCAATGGATTATTTAGTGCTCATGTCATTAATGCACGTGGGAAATATGGGACTCATATCTTGTCATTTAACTAGGTCGCCCACATAAATTTAAACACTCCACTCCAGTTTAATGACGACACAAGTCGTTTCGGGTCGTATTTTATCCGGTGATGCAGAAATAGGATCATACATCACTGGGATTCTGGTCAGGAGGTAAATTATGGAAGAGTGTGCAGCCTTTAAAATATATATATATATATATATATATATATATATATATATATATATATATACTGGCTGTCACAGCGGACGGAGAGCATATTAAGACACCCCGCCTCCCTCTTCCACATGCCACCCAAAATAAAAATGATTAAAAAACATTATCCATTGTTTACCCCTCACTCAGTTTTCACGTATATCTTACGCCCAAGAACGCGCATTTAAATGTTATATTCTGCCCAGACAGTAATAATGGTGAAGTTTGAAGAAAATACATAAGTAAAGCCTTGTTCAAATACTATTGTGATATTTCTGGATTGTAGGACCTCCTACTGCAAGCCCCGTGATACGAGGCTCTAATAGCGTTGCTCCTCCCCATCCCGAAGCTTATTTGAGCGGACGCTGCTTCCCTTGTCTTCCTCAGTGTTTATGTCTCCCCGGTGCTTTAACTCACCCAAGGTCATTGACTGATATAGTTCATTTTTATTATTTTAGGTAAAAATTATTTGTAAAAAATAAAATTTTGTCTGACTTTAATTGATCAGGCTATAAGCCGACCAACACCTTCGAGTTACATGTAATTAATTTCGAGTTAGTTTGCTTTGCTTTTCTTACAACCAAATGGAAAGAAAATGAAGAAAACATCTGCACTTTTTCAACTTTTCTGCTTTATGCAAATATGAAGATATTATTACATTTGGATATTTGAGCAAAAAGTATATATATTAGACATAAAAAAGATTTAAAAAAATAACTATAAGACTCTCAATTAGTGACATCAATTATTTTCATTCTTCTTTATGTTTTTTTCCCAGAAGTGTAATCTTCCTATTAACATTATACTTTTCTGTCACAACTCTTTTTCAGTCGAGTTGTATTTGTTTTCCATCTGTTTTTCTTTAAGCTACCTGGTTGTGACCTATAGACAGTCGAGCATAAAAACCTGCCTGAACTCAAGGGATTCTCCAGCGTTGTGAGACCTTTTGATTTGATCTTCAGGGGCTCAGTCATTACCTGCAGCCTCTCACAAAGACATTCTAAAGTGATGACTTGAATCTCTGAAACTTCTTTTTTTTTTTCCCCCTCCACATTTCTAACTTTAGGAAAATGTGGCCCAATTAGCTGTCATCAGGTGAAAGCATTTGCCTGGAAATAGAGAAACGAAAGCCAAAGTCCAAAGAAAAACATGAAAAATATCTTTAGAAAACATAAACACACTTGGCTAATAAGGGGGTTTTATGAACACAGCACTCTGTGTTCATTGCTGCAAAAAATCTCCCTGCTTGTAATTGAAAAATTACAACTGGAATATAGGAAATTTAATCGAATTGTTGAGCTTTCTTGCTGAACCCTTTATAAGTCAGTGTTTTAAGTTTTTTTTTTCTTACTGGACTTGTGAGGTGTTTCATTTCTTCCAGGTGCTACTATCCTTTTAAAGGAAATGAGCTTTGTGCTCAGGATGTGAGAGCAGAGGGAAGTCAATGTGAGCTTCCTTTACTCTGAGTTAAAATGAAGCACCAAGTGAATTATTTCCCCTTCTCTGTGCTTTGTATTTCAGTGCCTTAAAATACAACGTCTGCTGGTCTATAGGGATTTTGTAGATCAACATGTAGAACGACCTAATTGTGAATTGGAAGAATAATGGATGCTCTTTTACAAATAAAAATCTGAAAAGCATGTCATGCATTTGCATTCAACCCTCTTCACTCTGACACAGCAGCCAAGAGGCCCATGTGAACTCTGGAGGAGCTGCAGAGATGCACAGCTCAGATGGAAGAAATTGCTGAAAGAACAAATATTAGAAGTTTTACTCTCCATAATTGTGTGTTGTTTTTTTTAAGAAAATATTTTAAAAATGCAGCCGTTGTTGACAGCAAACCGTGGGAGATCCTGTTTGAAGTTTGAAAGCCATGGAGGGAACACAATGAACATGCAGGCGAAGGTGCTACGTCAGATGAGATCAAAATAGTTTTTCTGGAGAATGCTTCATGTGGCAGAGAACTG